CAAACCCAGCTTCCTCAATCAAGTGCCCACAGGCACCCAGTCCACAAGCCAGCCCCTCACTCCAAATCATTCAGCTCTTACTTGTTTCAGTACAAAAACAGGCAGGGCTCTGAGATGACCAACAACACAGAGATGAGGGCCACACTCCTTAGAACGACCACCCCTACATGACCAAAAGAACAGCATTTGCTCAGGAGAAAGCTCAGAGGGGAGGAAGGCATACGAGATACGGATAAATGGAAAGAAATGTTAACTGTGCTATTGCATTGTAGAGATTGGAATCAATGTTATGAATCAAAATGTATGGATTGTTGGATGGAGCACCAGTTTTCTCTGTAAAAGTTCATTCAAGCCCCAATAAAATGTTTAAAAATGGAGGCTGTAACAGAAATCGAATTCTCAGACATATCTTTATAGAATTGATGGTCAGAAGCCAGCCTGTATCTCATTCCAGAGTGTCCACGCTTCACCACTGTCCTGCGTGGTAACAGACCTGGAGCTCTGTTTTGGGCTCAAGATCGTCAGGGTAAACCAGCCCCTGACGATATCATGGGCGCAATTGTACAGCGATAATATATAAAGATTATAGTGAAGTCATGGAGAATAAGAGAGATAGGAGAGAGAGTAAAATAAAGGAGTCAGCCACATTTTATGATAGCATGCTCACCTCCTGGACGGCCATGATCTCAGCAGCCAGGTCCATGCAGAGGGGAGGAGAGAGAGATTTATTTCTAACCAAGGCTTATATATACTTGGGGCATGCAAGGCCCCTGATTACAGGTAACAACATGCATCACAGGAAGGGATAGTACCATAGGCAATACAATGGGAGGGGGATGATCTAGGGGTGTAAACGCAATAGGAAGAGGAGGGATTAGGGGTACATGTGACAAGATGGGTGATCCTAGATTCAGTATGGCAGCCTAACCTTGATCGTCCTTGAGCTGCTGGCCTGACTTTTCTGAGCTCTCCAGAGGAACAATCACTATCCATATTAGTAGGGTGTGAGCCCCACCACATTGTCTGGTTGCTCTGGATGGCTGATGCCTTCAGGGAGATCACTTCTACCCAGCTTGCTTCCAAGTGCGCTACCATTATTTACGAAATGCTGCAAGCAGTGTCCTAGGTCTGACATATATTTGGGAGAGAAAGCTGGGGAAAAGGCTTTTTATATCCCACCCAGGATGAAGATGCTACACATCAGGCTTCCATGTAGCATGAGTGATAGTGTTACTTGCTGTCCAGTGGGCCTGACTCATGCCAAACAGGATGAAACACTGTCTGGTCCTATGCCACCTTCAGGATGACTGGTGAATTGGGCTGTTGTGGTCCATAGGGCTTTCATTGGCTGATTTTTCAAAAGTCAATCACCAAGTCTTTCTTTCTTGTCTCTGTTTGGAAGCATCACTGATTGAAACCCGGTCAGTGTCATAAACCTCACCTACTGCCATCAGGTTAATTCTGACTCATAGTGATCCTGTAAGATAGAACAGAACTGCTAATCATGATTTCCAAGACTATAAATCTGTAATGGAGCAGACAGCCTCATCTTTCTCCTGTGGGTAGAGGGGGTAGAGGGAAGCCTGGACTCTTGTGAGTTAGAGGAGTCACAATCACATGCCAGCCCCCACAACCGAATGGGCCCAAGGGGGATGGTTGTGTAATTGAAGGGTACATTAAAGAGACATCAGACAAGTTAAAGCATGCAAGGGCTCACCTCAGCCATGACTTCAGGAGCCAGGTCTGTGCAGAGAGAGAGAGAGAGAGAGAGAGAGAGAGAGAGAGAGAGAGATTATATTTCCAACAACACCTTATATACTCTCGGGGCATGCAAACGCCCCTAATTACAGGTAACCACACATGTAATAAAGTGGGCTGTACCCTAACCCTAAAGGTCCCTGAGTTCATTGAAGGAGTAACCTAACATCAGTGCTGGGGGCAGGTAAGGAGGCGGGGCTGTCTTCAGAGCCAAGGGAGCAATAGCCACATGCCTGCTCCTATAGTTAGAGCTGCCGGCTAGATAGCAATCAACCATGTGCTTGTAAGAGGTAACTTTAAGGCAGGACTATTATGGGAGGATAGAGCGAGGAGCAATATTAATTATAAGAATGTGATTGTGACTCCTCTAACTCACAAGGGTGAAGGCTTCCCTCTACGCCCAGAAGCCCAGCTGCCAGGCTTCTTAAAATATGACAATGAAGAATTTATCTGCATATATTTTCTCCCCGTTCCTCAGTTTCCCACATTCTCCCTCAGAGCAGTTACTGGGTTTGAACAGCTGACCTCGCAGTTACTAGCCCAACCCAAAACACACAGTGCCACCAGGGCTCCTTTTGGCATTAGAGCAGCACAACAACCTCCACTGAGACAGGCAGAAGCTGGTCTTGAAGTGCGTCGGCCAGGAATGTAACTGGAGTGTCCCATGGAAGTTGAATATTCTACCTGTGTGCCACCCATGCCCTGCCCTGCCGGAACAATACTGCTTTTTAAACTCTGAGGAATTCCATCATTCTCTTCCTGAAGCATAGTCTCCCTTTAGCCACCAGTATTAGCTTCCTGTTGCCCAGAGTTCCCGTCAGTACTAAGCAGTTCTCCCCAAACGTGTTTTTCTGCTTGGTGATGAAGTAGGCGAGAACTTCTCCGACTTCCAGCGAGTGAGACTTACCCACAGGCGCCTCTTAAACCCACATTTCCCAGCCCACCGTGGACCATGAAACTCTGGATCATACAGCTTCCCCAAGGAGATTCTGATTCACAGGTCTGAACAAGGTTGAAGAGTGCCTGGGTGGGGAGGCTCCCGAGTCTCATCTCATGCTTCCAGGGGTTGGTGTGAGTTTTGGGTTTGTGTGTAGTGTGGGTGGGGTAGGGTAGAAAGAAAGTACATGTCCCACTTTGTTTCTACATGTCTATGTTATTATCATTTGTTCTTAAGGATTGTTGAAGCCTAATTTGATTTTGCTCAATAACAGTAAGGCAGGATAATTTACTAAGGTAGTCATTTGGGTTCTCTTTCTGTCTTCCCTTCTGCCCATTCCAATTAGGTAGCGAGACCCTGGACTCGGGCATTTAAAGGGCTAGCGCAGAAGTTACTCACAATCTCTGGTGAAAGCCTAAAGCCATTAAACAACTTCAATGTGTCTTTAAGGGAGAGATGAACGTGTAATGACAACTGGGGAGAGGAGAGAGGCGACATTCTCCAGTATGGAGAAGTGAGGGAGGTCTACCCTGCTTCCTGCTGGTTAGGGTTTTACAGGATAGCACAAAGCAGGGGTGTTTTTTTGGTGACACGGAGGTTAAGCATTTGGTTGCTAACTGAAAGGTCAGCAGTTCGATCCTTCTGATGAAGAAGTGGCAGCTTGCTTTCATGTAAAAAAACAAACGAAAGGGCAGTTGGCAACCCTGTTGTGAATCCTACTCACTCTTAAGTTGTAGTGGTTGTTAGGTGCCATCAAATCAGTTCTAGGTATTCTACTTGCAGCTGAACAAATCTACGTAACTGCAATGGGGCTGGGATACTTGTTTTGAGCAGGTCATGCAAGGAAAAGCACCGGCCCAAGAATGGCATGGAAATGCACACGCCCAGGCCGTCAGGCTTGCACAGGGGCCTGGAGTGTGTGTGTGTGTGTGACCCGTGACAACTGAGTGCACAAAACCAGGATGCCACCCGACTGGCCTTTATATTTCCTTCTCTCTCAAGCATTTCCTGCCCTTTCCCGCCTTCTAGAACGGGTAACTTGGGTAACCTCCTCTTGAAAATCACGTTCATATGGATGGCATAGCCCTAGTGTTGTGACTGCACTTACCTAATTCCATGTTTTCTCTTCTCTGACTCTAGTCCACTTGAGGCCACGAGTCCCACCTTAACTGCTCTTGAATCCCAACATGCTTATAACTGGGCATAGTTGATTGTAACAGTGCTTACACATCTTTTTTTTTTTTTTTTTGGCTTTTGACCTAATTACACACCACACACCCTTTTCTCACTCTCAAGACTGTCTTGGTTTGGCAGGTGAATTACACAGGATTATCCTACCCAGGCTAGGGCACCATGAATTGGTTCTGACCGATTTCGGCGCTGTGTCCAACTGCCAGCCTCACACATGTTCTTATGGTGGAGGCCACTGTGTCAATCCATCTTGTCCAAGGTCTGCTTCTTTTTTGCCACCCCTCTATTTGACCAAGCACGATGTCCTTCTCCAGGGACGGTTCTCTCCTGGCCACATGTCCAAAGCACCTGAGGAGGATCTCCATTGTTGCCTCTAAGGAATGTTCTAGCTGTACTTCTTTCAAGACAGATTTGTGCGTTCTTTGAGCAGTCCGTGGTACTTTCAGTATACTTCATTCTTTTTTGCGCAATGTCCACCTTTCACATGCATAATAGGCCAATGAAAAACCATGGCTTAGGTCAGGTCCACCTTAGTTGAATGAGCCCCAGCATCGGAGTTCTTAACATTATTAAAGTAGCTACTTGTAGGGACGACGTTTTAAGATTGGTTGCTTATGGCGATTTATTTTTTCCTTAATTCTACTGTCACTTGACGTAAGGTCACATTCCTTCAAACTGCCTTGGCTAACGCAGCATTCGATTTCTTTTTGGACTTGCTACACAGTTTTACGAATTTGTAATCTTCAAGAACATCCTCTGACCTGTTGTCTTTCAGAAGTCAGTGAATAAATAAAAACCACATACACCCCGCGGTGGAGGCTGATAGACAACCTCCCAGCCCCGCTGGATCCCCCTCCAGCCCGAAACTCCAGCCCCGTGAAGTTCCAAAGGTCGCAGCGCGCGCAACTCGGTTCGTTCTGCCCTCAACCAAAATGGGCTCCGCCGGAGTCGACGCCCTTAATGCCGCCGACCAATCGGAATCCAGGATCCCGGGCGCCGCGCCTCTCACTTCCGCCTTCTCTTCCGGGGACCCGTAACTTTGCGCCGAGCGTGAGCCGGCCGCCTCCGACTGGACGGTGCTCCGGCGGCCCGGGACGGCGAGGCCGGGGCGGCGGGCGGCATGAGCGCGGCGCGGACGCTGCGGGTGCCCGGCCGCCACGGCTACGCGGCCGAGTTCTCCCCGTACCTGCCGGCCCGCCTGGCCTGCGCCGCCGCCCAGCACTACGGCATCGCGGGTGAGGCCGGGCGCGGAGGGCCGGCCGCGCGCCGGTCCCGAGCCGCGAGCGCCGCAGCCAAGGCCAGCGGGAGGCCGCGGCCGCCGCGTCCTTTCCCCAGCTGCCCCGGGTGGGCAGTTGGTAGCGATCTCCCTCTGCCATCGAGTCCCCACAGGATAGGACCGCAGGCCTCCGGGGGTTTCGAGACCGTAACCCTGTACGGGAGTAGAAAGCCGCCTCTTTCTCTCGCGGAACACCTGGGAGTTTCGAAGCGCTGACCTTGCAGTTGGCCACCGATGCGTAGCCACTAGGACTCGCCCGTACACTCCGGTTGTGGTGTGGGCGTGGGATCGAGAAGGGGCTTAGCAGCCCCTATCTACCTTCCCTTTGACCGAGCTCCCCGGACGGACCCGTGCAACAGGACGGACAGGATGGAAAGCGTGACACCGGGCCACGCCAGTGTCAGCTGCACGCACCCCTCTACCTGCTCCCTGTGGCGCGTGGAGGTGGCCCCACAGTGCCCTCGTGACATTTAAGCAGTTCTGGCCCGGTGACGGCGTGGGTACGCGTTGTACTTTTAACACTAAGGTTGGCAGTTCGAAACCGCTAGCCGCTCCACGAGAGAGATGGGCTTTCTACTCTCGTCCACAGTTACTGTCTTTGACACTCACAGGAGGAGTTCTGCCCCGTACTACAGGGTCGCTGTGAGTCGGCATTGCCTTTGGGCTTTGATTGGAGGAATACACAGATTCTCCCAGGTAGTTGTTAGAGATGCAAATTTTACGACTGGGGGCTAGATGGAAATTCCCGGGTCCATTCTCGATTTTGCATTTAGGAAGTTCATATCCTTGTTGACCTGCTGGGGTTGTGTGGTTGCAGAAGGCTTGCTGTCAGTATTTTTTTGTTTGGCCTCAGAGCAGGGGAAAATGTATTCGCCATTACCCCCATTAACTTAATATTTGTACATTGATTTCAATAGATATCCATCAATTGGGTTGAATTTTTAAGACCCTTGGGTTTGTAATGACACTTTAAATCCTTAAGACTCAACAAAAAGAATTGGTATTCAAAAACTACTGTTGTTAGGGGCCATCGAGTCAGTCCTGACCCGTAGTGACCCCATCTGGAATAGAGTGAAACACTGCCCGGTCCTGCGCCATCCTCACAATTGTTCCCATGCTTGAGCTCATTGACGCAGCCACCGTGCCCATCCATCCCTTTCACTGCCCTTCTGCTTTACCAAGCATGATGTCCTTCTCCGGGGTCTGGGCCCTCCTGACAGCGTGTCCAAAGTAACAAGATGAAATCTCGCCACCCTTACCTCTAAAGGAGCATTCGGACCATACCTCTTCTGAGACAGATTTGTTTACCTGTTTGGCGGTCTGTGGTATGAAAGCCTGATACATAGCAGGGAAACATTGTCAGATTAAAATAATAGTCATGTTTTCATAGAAAAGTTTTCACATTCACACCCTACACTATAAAGTTAAATGTAATTTAGGAAAAAAGTGTTGGTCATTTTAGGAAAACAAATTGTGTTTGGTAGACGATTGTCAGCACTTTCTCATCAAGTATGTGGTCAATTTCACCAGATCTTTCTGCTCATTGTTTTTTTGCAAGCTGGACGCAGAGATGTATTTCAGGTGGATTGGCAAGGCCATGGGGTGATGAAGGAGCACAGTCCCTGGGGTCCGTGAGGCTCAGGTTTCTCATTTGTAAATAAGGATGAAAAACACCTGTTTGGGAGGCGTATGCGCCTGACGGGTTCCCTGCCATAGAGTAAAAGAAGGCAAACCGAACACCACACAGTTGCCATCAAGTCTCTTCTGACTTGCACCCAGTGTGTGAGAGTAAAACTGCTCCCCCAGGTTTCAGTGCCTGGTTTTGGGGGAAGTAGATTGCCAGGCCTTTCCTTCTAGGCACCACTGGGTGGATTGGAACTGCCAACTTTTGTTTCTGTTTTTAATTATTTTATTGGGAGCTCTTACAGATAGTATAGCAATCCATAATTCAGTTAGATCACACATACTTTTACAATTGCCACCATCAGTTTCAAAACATTTTCTCTCGAACTCTTTGATAAGAGCTCTCCTTTATCCCTTCCTTCCCCACCCTACCCCCAGGAAACATGATTACTTATTATTTTGCCTTATCTTACACCATCCAGTATATCTATTCATCTGCAATTCTGTTATTCATTCCCCTCAAGTTCGATTACTCCCGTTACTGTTTCTGAATAACAGCCCACTGTGTTGATCATTTGTATCAGCCAGGAACGTGAGCTGCAGAATAAGAACCTCACTGCTATCTAGTCGATTCCAACTTAAGAGTTGAGACTTCTTAGTAACTCTAGGTGGCAGCCCAATGCCTAACTTACTAGCCCGCTAGGGCTCCTAGCTATAGGCTTGGTACTCAGATACCTCTTAGAGCTGTGTGTCTGGATGCTATTCACAGTTGAGATGGTGTATTGACTCATGATTGAAGCACAGGAGAGGCAGAAATGGAGAATACAGCCCTGATCTTTTTTCTACATTCTCCCATACCTTTGAGAAGAAACTTGTAGTAAAATTTAAGTGCTCAGTGCCCCCTTGATGTTAGGTGGCCCCTAGGTGGGTTTGTGTTCAATGACATGACCTTGATGCGTGTCCTTTGCTCTCTAGGCTGTGGAACCCTGCTCATTGTGGATCAAACTGAATCGGGGCTTAGGCTTTTTAGAAGGTAAGGTGGCTCTGATTACTACACTTCTGTGTGTCCTCTGAGGCTGGTTATGTCCCTGTAAAATCCGGTTTTAAATAAAGTGTATTAATTGGCAATAATAAACAAGTGGGCATTTGCATAGTATAGAACTTATTTTTGCCATTTTGACACCAAAAATCGTGTCATTTTTCTAAAAGCTTTGTCTCTTGGTGTCCTTTCGCTGCCATTGAGTCAATTCTGACTCAGAGTGACCTGATGGGTGAAGTAGAGTAGCCCTTTGGGTTTCAGAGACAGCAGATCTTTAGGGGAGCAGAAAGCCTCATCTGTCACCTTTGGAGCAGCTTGTGGGTTTGAACTATTGACCTTGCTTGTGGTTGGCAGTCTAGCACATACACCCCTAAACTCAAGGTTTTATGCTTTCTTGCTGCGCACTTATACACTATACAATTTACACCTCATAAAAATGTGAGCTAGTTCATGTACTGTGTACATTTTCTTTGCTTGCTTGCTTTTTTTTTTCTCTTTGCTTCCTTTTCGATGTAGTTTTGCTCCACTCATTCAGGAACAAGCTGACCTTTTTGCGGCCTCTCCAGCCCCTCGTCGTGCCCTTTTGATCTGCGCCTGAGGAGCCCTGGTGGCGTAGTGGGTTAGTCAGTGGTTCGAAACCACGAGCTATTCCTCAAGAGAAAGATGAGGCTTTCTGTGCCCATCAACGAGTGACCGTCTCGCCCACAGGGGCAGTTCTACCCTGTCCTGTGGGGTCGCTGAGTCAGAATCAACCATTTAGAGAGTTAGAGAATTTTGTTTCTAGGACAGTTGGACTTATTAATGCCTCCGTCAGCTTTAGTTAAAAATAGAACCTGGAAAGGTTAGTACTTGCTCATGGTGCAGATGACAGATTTATGGGAAAAGTTGAAATGATTGGTCTCAATTAGTGTTTCCAAGTCCTTGCCTGCCCATCCTATAAACCACGCCAACTGGTCAACGCCCAGGTTCGGCAGCAAATCCTCCTGTAGCTCATGGTCACATAAGTGGGAGAGCGGATTGTAATCTGGCTCTGCAGCTTTCTTATTGTGTGACCTGGGACTGTAGCTGCCACTTCTCTGACCTGGTTCCCTCATCCCCCAAGCACTTGCTTCTTGTTAGCATCCTGGTAGTGAGAATCATGCGACCACGTGGGAGAATATTTGATAAACTATGTATTTTTAAAACTCTCCCTCATGTAGCTTTGACTGGAATGATGGCCTGTTTGACGTCACGTGGAGTGAGAACAATGAACATGTCCTTGTCACCTGCAGCGGCGATGGCTCGCTGCAGCTCTGGGACACCGCCAAAGCCACGGGGCCACTGCAGGTCTACAGAGAACACACCCAGGAGGTAGGAGAGGAAGCGGGCACTTTTTCACCTTCTGTTTTACTGGAATTCACTTGGAGATGGTGACATGTCTTCAAGAGACAGGAATTTAAGTTTCAGTTAGTTTCTTAAGGGTGTTACACATGTTCTGTGTCACTTAGCATTTGGTTATTCAGACAAAATACTTCTGGCCTAAGGAGCCAGGAAAGAAGAGAAAAGGTCAGGCTTCTCATTAGTCAGCAGGAGCAGCTCCCGCTGAGCATCGCTGGGTGTCCTCCAGAGAGACCTGTCACTTTCTCGGTGCTGTTCAGGCTATGTCTACCACGCAGTGCCTTAAGACAGAAGTAGGCGGACATTTCAAAAGAACAGCTCAAGATTGTCTTGCGGGCTTCTGCAGACTCCTGAGGATTTCCAGAATACATTGGAGCAAGAGTATGAAGTTCAGGAAGAGGCAGTGCTTCTGAAGAGGTTTCAAATCTCAATCGAGTTTCTCTAGATAATTTTTGTGTGTCTGTGTGTTGCTTCAAGAGTAGCCTGGCTTGATATTATATTAAAACACCACTCACTCACTCTCCCACTGCCATCGAGTCAATCAATTCCAACTCACAGCAGCTCTCCAGGGCAGGGTAGAGCTGCCTCTATGAGTTTCCTAGACTGTAACTCTTTGATGAGAGTAGAAAGCCTCATCTTTCTCGTTGCTGCTGGTGGTTTCAAACTACTGATCCTTTGGGTAGCAGCCTAATGCGTAACCACTCCCCGTATAGGACTATGTTTTGATACAGGAGCCCTGATGCCGCAGTGGTCACGCCATTAGGCTGCTACCTAATGAAATCCTTCCAATGAAAACATGCTGATTGGCTCCCAGATTTGTGCTGCTCTGTTTCACACAAGCACTGCCTTCTTTTCTTACTGTTTCCCAGAGCACTGCCCACTTCGTTCGGCTGGGCCACACAGAACTTCTAGACAGTGCTCATGAGTAATGCTCATGATTTTTGTTTTTTAAATCATTTTATTGAGGGCTCATACAGCCCTTATCACAATCCACACATCCATCCATCGTGTCAAGCACATTTGTATATATTTGTCATCATCATTGTCAAAACATTTTCTTTCTACGTGAGCCCTTGGCATCAACTCATTACCTGCCCCCCCACCATGAACCCTTGATAATTTATAAAAAAGTTTTCTCATGCCTTACTGATTGATATCTCCACCCACTTTTCTGTTGTCTGTCCTCCTGGGAGGGAGTTATATCTGATTGTGATCAGTTATATATCATTGTGATCAGTTCCCCCTTTCTCCCCCAACTTCCGCTCTCATGATCTATTAAGGAAGCTAACAGCTTGCAATTCAGATGAGAAAAAATGCAGTTCTCTAAGGACTGCTAATCAAGGCCCCAAAGGCATGCAACGCTGCAGTAACTGTGGGTCCATGGCACGCAGTTCCTCGTTTTAAGTGCTCAGAGGCCCCCACTGCAGTAAGCCTCAGCTCCAACTCTGTGAGCCAGCAAGTAAGCACACTTACCCCCTGAAGTAAGCACTCTTATTCTCAAGCCGGCCTCCTGCCCTGAAACACTTGCTCTCTGGGCTGAGAAGTCCACTGCTGAATGCCAGGCTCCAATTTGGCTGCTCCTCGGGTGTCACAGCTGTCCTGGAGGTTCACCAGGCAGGCATCTCGGGATCCAGAGAATCCCTTCACTCCTGACTCTTGCTGGTAGGGAGGCCCCCTCCTGCTTCAAAATGATGATTCATTTGAACGTAGCAGGTTGGCAATCCTAGCGAATCGTGTTACAAGCACTCACAACTGAATCCTGTCAGTATCTTCCCTCACCTCCCCCCAGACCCAGCAGCAGAAGAGCGTCACAGACCAGCCCTAGAAAAGCCACATTAAAGAATTCAAAGACCTGCAGTGTCCACTGGCGTAGAATGACCTCAGGAAGTGCTAATACTTGCAAGAGAAGGAGCCCCGGTGCTGCTCCCTTGAAGCTTGGCAGCCGGTCCTGCCAGCTGGTTCCACAGGAGCAAAGGTCTGGCCCCTGGCTCTGACCAAGAGCAGTCTTAGGAACCCTCTGCACAGTTCTCCTCTGGCCTGCAGGGTGCTACCCATTGACATCGATGTGACACTCACCACCTTGCAAGAACATTCTCTTGTTGGTGATGGAAGATTAAGTGCATGATTGTTCCTGACGTATCAGCATTGGTAAGGCTGTTACTGAGAGAAATGAACCCTTTTTCTTCCCCTCTTTTATTGTGGAAGCTCTTTGAATAAATGCAATTACAACTTACCATATTTTCAGCGAATCTCGGACTAGTAAGACAACCTTGAAAAGGAGGAGCTTCCGTTTTTAGCATGTTCAGTGGGAGAAACTCCACAGAAGCAGCATGGCCAAAAGTCGTATGGTTTTGTAGCATCTTTATGGCTTTTTTTTCCTTTGCTTTTTCCTTACACTGTTTGTGTCGTGATTAGCTTTATGTTTTTTTCTAAATCAGCGTGGAGATTTTATCCATACGAAGGCCCTTGCAGAAAGCGATTTGGCCTTAGGTTCTTGATTCATTCAAGCTGTACCAACACCTGGGGTTAAGGAATGGGGCTGAGTGACCCAGAGGGACCACCTGGGGGCTCATTACAGCCTCTGCTTCAGGAGGCATGATGGAATCTATCATGATCACATGGTGAGGCCATGGAGACTTGAGCCCTGAAGTTCAGATGAGCTTCCTAGTTGGTGACCATGAACACAAGAGTATAGCATGTCCCTCTTTAGGTCATGGAAGTACCATCCTGCGACCCTTCCCAGATTCTACTCCGAGTGTTTCTCCATTTGCGTTCCTTTTGGCTGTACTGAAAGTGTAGCTGTAAACATGGTCGACGCTGTGTGAGCCTTTGTGAGTCATTTTAGCAAGTCCGTGAGCCCACAGGGCCAGTGAGAGTCAGCAGACTGGTGCTTGACTGTTTGGCAGTCTAAAGACAGGTGGCCTTCTGGTCACGTGTGAGCTGGATCCATTTCACACTTGGAGAATTGGACTCGTGCTGCTCTTACCAGGCAGTTAGCAGTGAGGGTGGGATGTGCCCACCATATCCCTCGCTTAGTGCAACCATAAAAGAGCAATACACCCCTTCCTCACTTAGTGACCCCTGTTCAAAGAGGAAGTTGTCATTTGAAAGTGGTATTCGAAAACAGGATAGATAACCACATTAGATCACAAAATAGAGAATGACTACTTCATCACGTAACTGCCAAACCACAGAGAATCCTGACCTAGCCAAATTGACACAACCCTAACTATCCCAGCTAAGGTTATTCTTGCCTCAGCATTCCTGACTGCCACACACGTGCCCATTCATGCACAAAATAGATTCACTGCTGTTACAAATGTGATCTCTCAGTTAATGAGTAAGGAATGGATGCATTCATGAACCCACAGGCTTAATGGCTATTAAATACGTACACTTTTATTTACATCACGTGCATATATAAATATATGTACACATTAGTACAGATATAACGTAGTGCATGTATAAAATAAATGTCATATAATTGCATATGTAAATAGCTGCGTGCACCACTCCAAATCACCTCAGATACATCCAGCATTTTGTGTGTGTTACTTGTTGGCTGCTGTCAAGCTGACCTCCGATTCGTGGTGACCCAGTGCACGCAGAACAGAGTGCTGCTGGGTCTTGTGTCCCGCCCAGGATCAGCAGCCAGGACTGTGCGTGCTATAGCGATGCCATTGGCTAAATGCTCAGAAGCCAATCACCAGGCCTTTTCGAGTCTTGCCTTAGCTCGGCAGCTCTGCTGAAACCCGTTGAGCACCACAGCCACACAAGCATCCACTGGCAGATGGCATTGGCTGCACATGGGGGACACTGGCCAGGCATCAAACCCATGTCTGCATGGAAGGCCAGACTTCTCTGAGTGAACTGCCTGACCTCCTGGAAGTACGCCTCACTTTCTGGGGAAAATGACCCTGGAGGATGGCCTCTCAGCCTTTATTTCATCCCAGTGAAAGTGAGCTTTTCTTTTTTTACATATATGGAACGCTTCACAAATTTGCATGTCGTCCTTGTGCAGGGGCCATGCTAATCTTCTGTGTATCGTTCCAATTTTTTTTGGTATATGTGCTGCCAAAGCGAGCACGAAAGTGAGCTTTTCTGTTTAACTTTCAAATTGCTTTATTGTTTAGAAAATTGTGTGTTTAGAGTTGACATCTAATTTTTATAACAACCATCTATTCCTTGAAATGCCTTTTTCTGAAGCAGAGAGGCTCTTTTCTAGAAGAGCTCTTGGCAGTAGTCCCCACGCTCGGATTAGTCTCACCTTTGCCAGACTGGGTCGGCACGTCCTTCAGCCTGTCCTTACAAGCGTTCTCTATCTTGGCGCTCTCTCCCCTCTGAGCCCCACTCGCTGCCATCAAGTCTATTCTGCATTGGGTTTCTACTCTTTGCAGGAGTAGACAGCCTCACCTTTTTCTTAGGTAGCGACTGGTGGGTTTGAACTGCAGACTGTGTGCTTAGCAGCCCAGTGCTAACTCAGTGCCACCATGATGCCTGTCTCTTTTGAATACTCTCCTACTTCTCAGTGTCCCTCTTAATGTGATATGCCTAATTTCTTCTGGAAATGTGATGATGCATACTAAGCTTTTTTCCCCCAACAGTTTTATTGGCACATAATGTACATATCATACAAATCAATAGTTCAATCGTTCAATTATATCAAGGAGAATTGCACAATCATAGGCACATCAATTTTTGAACATTCCCTTACCCATGGTTAAATCACCTTTAAAATGAGTCATGCAATTACAATCAGTTCTCCCTTCTCCTTTCTTCATTATTTATTCCTGAAATCCCCTTTTCCTCCCTATCCCCCACTCCCCACCCTTGGGTCCTCTGCAAACCCTTGTATCAGTTATTATCACTATGCATCCACTCTTTGTGCTTCACCAATTGGGAGACCAAACAGAAACAATAAAAAACAAAATCGAGCTAAGGTGGTGAGAATGAAATAATAATATAAAGGTAAAAAATGCAAATAATGAGTAAGAAAGAAACGACCCCCATAACATTCAAAAAGCCAGGGAAGAAATTTATGCCATGGAAAAAGATATACTTGCACTCAGAACCAATTAAGTTTGGGTCTATAGGGAGGTCAACTAGCCAAGTATGAAGTTCGATCCAGCAGGATCAAGATTACAGTGGTCTCTGCATGATAGTACGGCTGTTTGCGACTCCTGCCTATGGCTAGAGAGGATCTGCCATCAGCTGTCTGACTTGATACTCTGCAGATGGGTTTTGGGCTCCCACTGCCCTCTGTCGCCATCTACAAATTGGGTGTTCATAATTTTATCTCTGATACTTTGCTGAAAAATATACATATATGTATATGTAAATATACACATATAAAGCCAAAATCGTTGTCAATTTTGACTCATAATGACGTAATGAACATAGGGCAGAGTAGAACTGTCCCCTGTGGGTTTGCTAGATTGCAAGTCTTACAAGAGTAGAAAGCTGCCTCTGTCTCTCTCAGGTGCCATCGAGTCAGTTCTGACTCATAGTCCAACCCAGCAGACACTGCCCAGCCCTTTGCTGTACTCACAGTTGTTTCTGGGTTTCAGCACAGTGTTGCAGCCACTGTGTCAGCCCATCTTGTCAAGAGTCTTTCTCCTTTTGCTGACCCCCCCCACCCCGTTTATAATCTCTATATATTGCCCCTCACTTTTATTTTTTTAACACACTTTTTGATTAAAAGTGTGGGTTCGGTTAGGATCCTTGGACTGTTAGCATCATAGAAAATGACCAAATCAAAACTGACGTAAGCAGTCTTGGGATCACAGCGCATCGTTTCACAGAAGCAAGCCGGTGGCGGTGCGGTGGCTGCGGGTGTGGTTCACTCGGGTTGGCAGTGCCTCTCCGTGCTCAGAGGGTAGATCTCCCTCTGAGGTTGGTTCCTCACCGTCTCGGGATGGCTGTGCATAGTGCCAAGTGTCTTCTCCTCACCCTGCAAGGTCGAGAGGCAGAACAGGGGACGGTCCCTGTGTGGAGTCTCTTTCTAAGACTGAGGAAGAGCTTCCTTGGAGCCCCTTGGCACATAGCTCTTCAGACTTCAGTGTCCGTTCCTGCCCCTGTCACTGGTGAGGGCGATGGGACCCCTATGCCCGCCTGCCCCTAAAGCAGACCCACCCTGTGGGATGAGGAGGGACCAAGCCTCCCTGGGCCACTTGACTGACCTTTTGCCAGCAGGGAGGGCTGGGGGATGAGCCATCGTGGAACCGGCCCTGACCACCTGCTCTGACCTTATTTCTTGTCTTTCTCCAGAAAACAAGTTGTACAGGGCAGGGTGATAAACAGGGAACTTTAGAGTAAACAAATACAGGAATGAGAATATCTGAATCCTATTTTTTTTTCTAACAGTGTGTTCAGGGATGCTACCTTACAAAATAAGAATAGCCAACAATGGTTCACTGGTTAACGATGGTTCATTTCTTCCCATGGAAGATAAGCTAGAAATGAAACCCACTGTCATCGAATAGATACCAACTCTCAGAAACCCTATGGGCAGGGGGGAACTGCCCCTCTGCGTTTCCGAGACTGCAACCCTTTATGGGAGTAGAAAGTCTCGTCTTTCTCTCGAGGAGAGGCTGATGGTTTCAAACTGCTCACCTTGCAGTTAGCAGCCCAGCAGGTAACCACTACGCCACCAGGGCTCCTCCCATGCACGATCCTATGTAGAATTAGGGTTAGCCGATGGTTTCAATCCCAGCCCTGTGACTTACCTGCTACATGACCTTGGGTCAACTTCGTACTTTTCTTAAACCTTTGTGTTTTCCTGTGTAAAACCAGGGTAATGTTAGTGTTTATATCACAGGGTTGCTATGAGTGCTTGGAAGAGAGCCAACACCAGATAAATACCAGGTATCATTAGTTGTTGTTATGGGCTTATAAAAACTGAAAACAAGTTAGAAACCATCACTTACCCTTTTCACGCTGATTGCTGTCTGGGGAATTTGCAACACGCCATTCCCAGAGGGTCAGATGAAAGGGTGTCGGAGCAAAAAGCAGAAATCCAACTTCCAGATTTTTTTTTGGCTTAAGGAATGAGGGTCTTGGGGAAATAAAAGAGGCAGACGAACATTATCCATGTGCATGGATTCTAAATTGAGTGTCAACTCAAGAATCAGATTCCATTTTGTTAAACAGTAAAGGCCATTACATCTTTTCAGAAGGTTTCACCCGCTGCTGAATATATAATAGGAATAGAAGAATAGCAAAAACTTTAAAGGTGTAGAGGAGAGGAGAAAAGAGAGGATGCTTGCGAATTTGTCTCTCACCCTCAGCACTCTGCTGTGCAGAAGTCTTTAAAAGTCACTTTAGAGATGACACAGAATCGATGGAATAGATTTCTTTTAGTTTCTAATTTTCAGTCTGTTACAGTTTTTAAAATACTTAAATTTTGTCCTCATTGCCAGCTAGAGAGGCTCGCCTATTTGCTGAGGTGTTGTTGTTGTTTTTTTAAAATATTTGGTCCATTTAGAATTTTCTTTAAGTATTCTATTGTGGAGAAACTGTGCATTATATGGTAAAGAGGTGCTACATGATTAAGATCTTGCTTGTCTTAAAGAATGAATCAGTCATTTCTTACTGACGATAACTGATGAACCTGTAATGATAGCTGCAAACAAAAAAAATTTTTTTTCTTTTTAAAATCATTTTACTGGGGGCTCGTGCAACTCTTATCACAATCCATCCATCCATCCATCCATTGTGTCAAGCACATTTGTACATTTGTTGCCATCATCATTCTCAAAACATTTGCTTTCTACTTGAGCCCTTGGTATCAGCTTCTCATTTTTCCCCTCCCTTCCCCTCCTCATGAACCCTTGATAATTTATAAATTATTATTTTGTCATGTCTTACACTGTCCAATGTCTCCCTTCACCCACTTTTCTGTTGTCCATCTCCCATGGAGAGGGTTATATGTAGATCCTTGTGATCGGTTCCCCTTTTCTCCCCCACCTTCCCCTTCCCCTCCTGGTATCACTACTCTCATTATTGGTCCTGAGGGGTTTATCTCTCCTGGATTCCCTGCATTGGGAGCAGTGGGAGATGAGCTGGAGAGAGCAGTAAGGAGCATGTCCAGATGGCCATGGAGTGCCTGGTTAGGGGGCTTGGACTCTGTGATTAGAAAGTTCAGAAGAAACAAGATCGATTTTGTGGACTTGGGGCCACACACACACACTGTGGGCAGCAAACAGCATGTAGATGGATGGACAAGTTTTGTTTTTTTAAAACCCATTTTCCATGTAAGCCATTTCTTCAAGGTGTTCAGCTGTTAGGTAGAACTAGACTATAATTTAGGTATTTGAAATAAAGAATGTAAGAAGTGTTTGTTTTAACTCTATGGTTCTCAAGCTTTATGTATTCGAATCACTTGGGAAGCTTTATCAAACTCTTTCTGCCCATGTCACATCCCATGACAGTCAAATCACAATGTTTGGGGACTGGAGCCAGGCAGCAATATTGCTTAAAGAGCCCAGAAGAGGGAGACAAAAAATGAGGAGCTGATACCAAGACTCAAGTAGAAAGAAAAGCTTTTGAAAATGATGATGGCAACATATGTACAAATGTGCTTGACACAATGGGTGTATGTATGGATTGTGATAAGAGCTGTACGAACCCCCAATAAAATGATTTTTTAAAAACCCAGAGGATTCCAAAGGGCAGCAGTGTTTGGAAGCCACTGCCTTAATATGTATTCCAGCGTAATTACACTGATTCGTGTTATCTATATTTGAGGGATACTTGTAAGTGTTCCAAAATGCAGATTTTAAAAATCCTTCATAAAGAGTGTTTTAGCTTGCAAAGTGGTCACTCACAGGCCATTTAACCTCACAGCTTTTGATAACTTTGTTAGAGAGAGTGATGCTGGTTAAGCAGATGGACACTAGTGGAATGTGCTCAGGTAGAGTGACTTTCATGGCTGCCTGCTGCTCCTGTATCTGCCTCTGTCACATGCTCCGTGCAGGCGTCAAACACTAAACCAGGCTCAAAAGCACATTAGTAAGTGACTCATAGAAAGGTATTAGAATGCCATTCCTCCTGTTTTACATATAACCTATTAAGAAATGTGTGTAGGAG